GCTCGGCTCGCCCCTCTCCGCCGGGGACAGCGCTGCTCCTCGTCCTTACGGTTACCCCTTCGTAGTAATACTGATAATTTCGCTGCTGTTGGTGGTGGTGGTGTTGTAAAAAATATGATCCCCCCCCGGAAATTTGGGGGTTACGGAGTTTCGTTTCTTCAGGTTTATAAAGTAATGATGAATAGGGTAATAGGCTTAAAATGCGCTACTGAGTTTAAAAAAAAAAAAAACAAAACAACAAAGATGTAAAGGGTTGGTGTTGTGGAGTAAACAAGACAATTACTGCTTGTTTTTACGAGTAAGTGTACGGGAAGGTTTTAGGTAAAATGAGTCTGTAGCTTTCCGAGTCAGAAGGCTGAGATGGTAGAGGTGACAAGCGTTTGCTTGTCTCGGGCGGCCAAGGTTAGGCACGAACAAGCGTCTTCACCTCCTGCGATACCAATGTCAGAGTGGATGGGAAGGTCATTAGCAGGTCATTAGCCTGAGCTGTGCTTGTGGTGACTGTAATCGATAACATCCGAATGGTAGTGGCTGTGTGAATAGACACGGGTTTCTGCAGAAGTTTAAAATTCAAAGGAACTTCCTGATGATGAGAGAAGGTTGACCCCGCATGATGAGGTCCTGGGGAGCAGTCGTTGTTCATTGCTGAGTGATTTAGGAAATAAAAGAGATCCTGGGCCGAAGCAGAATTGTGCTGTGACATGTATGCAGCCAGCAGCACTTTCAAGATGGGAATCTTCCTGGCTGTGAACAAGGGGAAAAAGGGAAATAGTACATGAGATGAGGACACGGTGGCTGAGGACATAGTTACTGAGTAGGTGGACAAGAACTGACATTTTAAGTAACATGTAATGTAAATATCAGATTATTTGAGATTGAAAACACTATACATAATGTAATATCAGGGTATCAAACCTCAAAGGCAAAGAATTGACTGGAAGAAGTTAGAGAAGTGTATAAATGAAATGATGAGTGAAAAGTGGAGCTACCTGTACCATTAGGTAAATGATGTGAAAACAGTGGAAAGAGAAGATACAGTTCATCAGAAATCATGAATACAAGTAGAAAAGAAAATGGAGACAGACTTGTCTTGCAAGAGATGTATAAGTAAAATGAAGTTTTAAATGAGTGTTGATCAAGTTTAAACTTTCCTCAATATAACATTCAAATCAGTATTATCATAATAATATGTGACTGGAATTCTAGGGTTTTTTTTAGAAACATTAGTCACAAAAAAAAAAAAAAAGAAAAGAGTGTAATTTCTTAGATATGTTGATTGCAGTGTTTTGCCCAGTGTTTGTAAGTGGTTGTCCTTCTCTTCTTTCAACAGTGTCACAACAGTTGTTTTGCTGAGTTATAACCTTCTGAATGACCTCTGTTTTTCATGCAGCACTGGAAAGCAAACTCTTGAGTTCATAAAATGTGTAAAAATGTAGACCTCAGATTAGTTTAGCATGATAGAATATAGCATTTCAAGACCATACTGTGGACTACCTGAAATTGAATGCACTTGCAGGAAATAAAAGGTCAGCTGTGCATAATAAGGACCTGGACACTTCTACCCCCATAACTGCACGGCAGAGAATGAGAAGCATCAGAACTCGATATCTTGCCTTAAAAGTGAAAGGGATAAGCAAAATATTTATGGTTTTGCTGCCTTGTGACATTTCAGTCCCAAAATTGTTCCTTGTGGAACAATTGCAAACTCCACTAGACAATATTTATCAGTGGAAAAAATGTAGTAGTTGAGGCAGTACCAGGAAAGAATGCAGTAGTTCAGTACAGATAATACACCCCATAAAATAGCCTGACATGTATAAGGGCATAGTGGTCAACAGTTCAAGCCATTAGATCACAGTCCCTCAGACTGTCATTTCACACCCTTCTGGTGCTCCTCAGTCTAGACTAGCTTTATAGGAAGCCTGTTGTCAAATTTTCTTGAAAAGCATCATCTAAGGCTGTGCGCTCTGTGCCTTGGTATAAGGCCACTGCAGGAGTCTGCTTGCCACTATTCCTCTTGCTGTGTTCAGTCTTAATATTTTTATCTATATCCTAATTTGATGACTTGCTGTTAAATATTTTTTCAGGAGAGATGTATATGTGCTTGCTGTAGCCAGCAGCCCTTTCAAGTGTGCAGGGATACTTATCACCTGCTGCCTGGAGGCTGTGATTTCAGTCCTCCCAGCAAGGTTGCTAAGGAGTACTAGGGATCCTTGGAGAGGAAAGCTCAGGAAATTCTCCTGTGGCCTTTGCACACATTGTGTGCTGAAGCAGTGCCTGTCCAATATAAACTACTGTTCTGACAGTAATATAGTATGACCAGATGTGTACCTTATGTATCACGCTGTAACAGAAGATAATTGTGACTTTCTAGTAAAAACGAAACATCTGTGAGTGTGAAAATGCTGTGATAAGCTGCAAAGAGCTCAGGCTTCTTCAAAATGTACCTTAGGTTTAAAATTCATTTGCAAAGACAAATCGAGAAGTACAAGATGTGCAGCTTTTAACCTACTACAGCTCTACACTTTTTAAAACCAAATCCTGTATGTTTCATTCAGAATGTTTTTTCCTGCAGAGATGATGCAGCACAGCATTTTAGGCACATTAAATGCAGTAATTCAACACTATTCCTTTTCCTGTTTTATTTTTTCCAATGAGTGGACACTTCAGTAGAAGTTGAAATAACTCAGCAGCACTTTAAGTTTAGTCCAGATAGCAGGAAAAGCTGAGATGTTCCACCATCTCTAAAGCATTGAGCAGAGACCTGAAATCCATTTATGTTCTGTCTGATCTCTCTTGCTATTTCCAAGAAATTTAGCCAAAGTGTTACAAAGCTGTGTTTCACTGAAAGACTCAGGTTCACGAGTGTTTTGTATATATTGCATTTTGAAAGTAACATCTATAAAGATTTCCACCACTAGTGGTGGTTCAGAAATTGGAGAAAGGAATAGGGACAGACTGTCTCATCGCTTAGCTTTTCTACTTCAACTTGGAATTGCTCAAGTTATTGCAGAAAGGTGGCCTTGTAGAAAAGAGAGCAGTGTGACAATCTGGTTTTGAGAATAACTGTAAGGAAACCTGATGGTGTGTGGGGCTGTAGTGAGGAAGAAGGAGGGGGCTGATGTGCAGCCCATGATGCAGACTTGGCCCTGGAGTCAACAGGCATGGTGGGAGAGTTACCTGGGGCTGGGATGAGGAGTCTGGTTGAGACGTGACTCAGACTGGGACAGGGAAATCTGGTGTTAGACTGTGTTTATCAGTTCCTCCATGCAGATGGCCCAGCTCAGGCTGAAGACTTCTTTTAGGTCCCCCCTTTGTAAGCCTTCAAGGCTGTGCTGGCAATGTCCACGGCAGAAGGTGTTGGTAAGGAAACCCAAACCTTTCCATAATAGTTTCAGGGCAGGTGTTGTTCCAGGCAGGGGAACTGATCTTGGCAGGCAGCGCATGGCAAAGAAAGAAAACTCCCATTTCAGATGGATAGCCAGTCTGTACTCAGGCAGGAGATGTTCTCCTGTGAACAGAAAGAAAATATTCCCCCCTTGGTGACTCACCTGATCAGACTCTGCTTGAAAAAGCATCTGACCTTGAAGCTGCTGCTGTGGAATAGCTTTATGTGGAGGTATGGCTTGACCACTGAGGAGCTACACTGCAGGTGTTTACCAAGAACCTGCAGATACCATTTGCCTCTCAATACATGATGGGGAGGCCTGGAGTATTTCCACAGAATACTTCCACAGAAGTATTCTCTGTTAAAAACCAACATGCTCAAAACTCAAGCTGATACTGGCTTTCCACTCTTTAAACAATTCCTACAAGTAATTCTCAAAAAAAGCTTTAAAAGGCTTACTAGTGTTTCTACCAATACTGAAAATATTTCATTTATTCAGCTAGAATTTTATAAATATCTTAAGCAGAAATTTTGAGTAGTGTTTGAATTACCAGGTGGAGTGTTGTGTAACGTGTGTGTAATGAGGGCTTTTATCTTCCTGTATCTTTCAGTTCACTGAATTACACTTCTATGCTGTTAAAGTGACAGCTAAATGAAAGTTAAAAAAATAAACAGT